TAGAGTTATATACCAACTCCCTGAAAATAACAATGCACTGCAGATTTCACTGACTCTATGTTGAATCCTTTTTGGAGTAATTTTGACTCTCTTTCCGAGTTGATTTAAAGCTTTGGAGTAATAACTACTCGCATCGTAGAGTAGATTTAACTCTCTTTAAAGGTACTCCACTAGTTAGAGTAACTTCAACTTCATTGGGAGGGGTAATTTAAACTCCTCTCGCGTGGTCATAAATATAGTGAAAATTCAACAATAACAATCTSGATGCTATATGTGCTGCAAACATTGTACAATGTACCACTGTCATTGATAKCTTTTTAGCGGAAGATAATTATAATAAAGAAATCAAATATTAAAAAAAATTGATACTGATGGTTGTCTTGCYTACAGGGAGACGATTCAAGCAAAAGGCAAACAGATTGTGCGACAGACTGGCGCTGTAARCAACGTTCGAGAAGTAGGATTCCTATTGCCAGAAAAAGAACTTTGGAAACATTTCCATGGGATTATGAAGAATACTAATAAATGCAAAGGAGACAGAAAAAATAATTAATAATTAAATAAGATTAGTAAATAAAAAAGTAAATGTAATTGTTGRTAAAAATTGTATTCAAAAAGTAATAAATTTCCAACTATGACTATAGATGAAAAAATAGTCTGTACAGCCGAATTTTGTTGTATTCTTATTGAATTGTATTGTCTATTTATTTTTTGTTATTGACATGAGTTGACTAGCCGACAATAGCTCATGGGTAATGTACGATCCAATCAGAAATTGCTTTGCTAGTTGCAGTGGTTCCAGAAAATGGCCCGCATCGCTCGTTAATTCACAGACAGCTTTGTAGGGAAGATTTTCCGGATATGCCGAGTTTTCTGTTTACAACCGATTCGATTTATATTAATTATGGTATATACCTTATAAGTAACTTGTTCCAAATTCACTAAAAAGTTCCAACTGTTTTATTGCTCAATTATAGACGTTCTACTGTTTTTCGATTATTCGATCAGTATGTCACTAAAACATTTTTCAGACTGGAATCTCGAGCCCTCTTTGTTAAACCAAACATCTAAGGACCTCTATATCTTCGAATAATCACTTTTCAGACAATGGATGATTTATTACTATAATGGTAATGGTATATCAGACTACTGTTCTTTTGTTCACGTTGATAGCTGCCTTCCTAGAACTAGTAGTAGGTGGTTTACGAATACAAATATTAAGTACGTATGTTTTATTTCATTTCTTGTGTCTATCTCTTAAAATACTTCTATTTTTACCGCTTTTTTAATTATATTTGTAAGTATGCCCGGTATTAAAATCTTGATATCATGTTTTTAATAAAAACTCATTTGCTAAAAGATGAATTTACCTGTCGTATCCTCACGACCTGACGTAATACAGACGTCATGTGCGTTTATAAAAGAGTTGCTGAATATACATCATTTTACCATTTATGGAAAATAGAAAACCATGATTAACTGGTGTCAGTGCTAGTACCACTTGTCTTCGGCGTGAAAGCGATCTTGAGAGGWTGAGGATCGCTGATACYATCAATTAAGAACACCAGACAATTTTTACTTTAACGTGGTTTGTTTGTTTAGGATTAGGTTTTCCTTTAATTTCAATTTCCTTGTGATGTATTATGGTTTATTGTGATGTTTCCTTTCGTGGGTTTAGATTATATATTTAGACTTACAATTTTATATTAAAGTGTCTACAAACGASGGTATATATCAGATTAGATTTTATGCGCTGAATGAGTCAAATCTGTGTAAATCAAGTGGGATTTATCTAAACTGTCGTAAAGTCTAATATCCTGTTTACAACTAAATTCTAACCACTTGCTTTTACCTAAAAAAAGGTATAATATTAATATCGMAAATCTTACATTTATTCATTTGATCATCAGTTACTTTTTTGATCGTTTGTTTCTCATTGACCATTTCCAAAAAAATCAAATGGATGGCTGAATTTAATATTAGTATATGTCAAATGAAAAAAAAATTGTCCCTGACCAGTTTTATCTCACTTACTGCATATCAGTCACTGTGAAGTCTAGGTTTACTGGTTTTTGATGTTGAAAAATCACAATTCTCAAAAAAAACAGCCGAAGTGCAAGCTCACTCGACCAATATAGATCGTGTTTTTCTCTAGGATTTAACTCATGTTTTCCAAAATAAAGCTAAGCTGATCTTCSGACAAGCCTTCGATGAGAATTGCCATTTCATGATTGTTTCAAATAATTATCAACAGTGTATCTGTAACAATAATGTATTGCTTATAAGATTTTTTCATCCCTACTTAAAACCCACACTATAGTCTCTTGGAGTAACCAAGTGGGTTGTTTATTCTTTAAAACCCACGACATTATTATTTGTGTTTGTATTGCTTAAAGCAAAAGTATTACATTAACGTCCATTGTGCGCGTACAGGATTAGCCTCTAATTACGATAATATCGATTTTACTGTGTTGTGATTTTATAATTCTCAACGTAAAAGCTTTTGCKCTAATTGAAATGTGATGGTAGAACAGTTAAATATTGCTCAGAGGAACACTATAGTTAACCTACATGACCTAGAATAGCGGAAACTGTTTTTAGCCGAAGGGAAAAAATGATTCCTGCTATGACGCTGACTTATCTATATTATTGATCTTGAGCTTTAATAATCATGATTTTTTTGCGCAATCATTTAGCTAGGATCCGCACGTATTTTGTTCTTCTATTTAATAACCATGTTTATAGCACCAAGAACAAGCAATGYAATCGATGTCATTTTTGACTGCAAATATACTCTCGTTAATTGCTGGGTATAGACTATTATTACTTCATATCTCCATATATATCATTGTTACGGTTAAACCTTATCTACTCTGATATAATRCATCGTCCAACATTTTATTTCTTTGACACTGGATGACAGGTTAAACATGTAAATAAATCATATTGCACAATTCTCTGCACACCTTTATCGTATCTGTACAAAATGTTGAGTTTTGTAGAATAATAAGAGCGCAAAATATGTCTGGGCAACGGCGGGGTGATTCGAACCCTTGACATACTGCACGCTTAGCAMCAACGTCAACCTAACGTCAAGCATCTACTATTTAATCAATTGCTTCCCTTTCGTCCCTCGCGTTTTTAGATTATTCAAGCTTCCTCTAAAGATTTATAAACAATGTAAAATRTATTTTGGTTCTTTTTGGAAGATAATTGTACTTTGCGGTTATAAACCAATACATTTTGTATACTTTACCGCGTTTCTAACCATAAGTATCATACATCCACTTTGCGGACTAGTGAACTCATCGATTTGACCCGCCAACATTAGCAACCTAAGATTGCTTGATTGATCAGTTCAATTGTACAATTTTTTTTATGATTTCTTCGAATCTTGCGAGGCTCAACGGCTCTATTCAATACAGTGCTCTACGTAGGAAGATAAATATGGAATAAATATTTGCATTTCAGTATTTTGTCCGGGGGGGGGGGGGGGGAGTATTTTGTTCATAAAGATAAATTAGATTTTGATGTTATTTCGTGAGAACTGAAAGGCGCCGTGAAGGGTTCACATCAGATATTGTACTTTCTATATACATATAAATGAAGGCTTTTGGAAACTGGTACCTCGGGGGCTGTATAAATATAAGGCTAGGAGATGACAAACTCCTCGACATAWATAATTTTCAATATCATACTCACTCTTAAACCGTTCTTTTTATTTTTATTGCTACATTTATTGASATAAGCAGACAATAATATCATTCCAGTATCGACGTTTCGACAGTAACTGGACAACGCTTGTGTCATTATCAAGAATGTTTTTCTTCTGCAAAAATGAATGAACATAAAAAATGTTTAAATTTGAATATCATAGCGCGTAGAAGCACCATGTGTTTATTTAAGAACTTGTTTTTGTGAAATATTCTATTATTTGTATAGATACCTGCTGGGAAAATTTCATGTCATTTAAACCAGGCAACATTTCGCCTCTTGTTTTTCAATCAGTCAGAAGCTTTTTTTACATTTGTGTGAGAAAACACAATATTCACTTACTTCGCATTGGTGTGATTTTAATGATATCCTGTCGAATATAAGAACGAAATTCTGCTAAATGACATCGGAATACGAAGCAAACGCTTATTAGGGGAGCATGTTTCCGTCGTCATAGTACGTACTATAAAAATATTATAAGAGTGACAAATATACAAAAAGGAAAGACAGCTTGCTTTTTGATATATTTTGGGTATTTTGCGTCTTAAATTCCGTTGTGTACTATTATGTAAAGATGAGTTTCAAAGGGCATATACCGCGTGTGATTAACTATATAGYTCACATAGCAAAAGGGATTAAATTCTCACCATTTTTCCTTAATGAAAATGAAAAAAGAGCACAYATATGTGGCATTGCATGATATCGTTATCTTTACATCAAGACTGACTTTTGGCTTTTTTTTCTGAAGATGATAAAAATGTTTAGAGTATCTTGCATTTAATAAATCTTGCTATTGAGAATAGAGTGTTATGGCTAAAAATCTTAATCATATTTAAGACACGATCCGAACGAAAGCTGTTCTTTGGAGAATTTCAATTCATTTTGGAAATATTAATTTGTATTAAAAGTCTGTGTACAGATATTGCTCAAGGTTGTATCACTAAMAAAGAACACAGAATTGATATTGTTACTTTATTTCGACTTTAATGGAATAACATCAGTTCAGTTCCCACTAAATCAATCTTTCGTAATCASTCAGCAAAATTATGGGATTATTATTCGCAAGGGAGGTCCAGTGTCAATCTAATCTTCTATAACTGAATGGGGGTAGTTTAATTTTTTTCTAGAGCTAGGTCCTTAAMTATCTTTTAGTAGATACAAATCTCAGTATGTTGTGTGTACGAYAAATCAGCCTACCATTGTGGACGTATCTTCAGACATAGAGTCCCTATAGCGAGGGTAAATATTACATATTGCATGGGGTTGCAAGGTACAATTTTCTTTACGATTTTAATACACTCTTTAAATCTAGAGCGATTGATTCATCTCGTTGATGGTTCATCGCATTAGACGATTGCACATAAAACAGCCCTTTCATTTTAGGGTTCACATTAATGCGAGCGGTTTAGCGGAAATCGACACCCACCAATCTACACCGCCGATTATACGACATTGATCTATTAATTGAACTGAATTACATATCCAAATGAAATTTACAAGAACTTCTTCTTGTCATACCGGGTCACATTTGTCATTCTAATGAGTTTGCTTTGTGTGGTTGGTGCTCATTCGATGTACTTGTACTAGTATTAGTCTGATTGGTTCTTAACCTTGACACTTGAAGTGAAAAGAACAATATTTGCGCGAGGTGCCATGAACAAACCATACATTGAAAAGCCGACGAGTGAAAGCTAGAGACACACAGTCTGCGTCACCGTCTTCGAAGAACTGCCTGCGGTCTGTTGAGAACTGTGTGGATATCTGCCGCACTTTGCATAATCGGAATCAGTTTTGAAAACGGACGAAACGGAAGCTTTGCTATTAACCGGGAGCTAAAAACGGGATACATCAAGCGTAGGAACAGTGTAAAGATATCTCGGAACAGTTTACATCCGTCAAAGGGAAGAGGTCTGAGTCTCTTTCAACGAAGATGAATTCCTCATCGAATTTTACAAGTAGTATGGCTTGCGAAATTAGTAAAGACAGTCAGGAGAAAGTAGTTATGAAGATACTGGCGTACAGCACTATCTTCTGCGTTGCACTAGCTGGAAATGCCCGTGTTATTTTGTTGGTGCTCCAAAGCTCCAACATGCGTCGAAGAACCATAAATCTGTTTGTAGTCAATATGGCGATCTCGGATCTCCTGATATCTCTTTTCGCTATGCCACGTATGATGATTGAAATTGTTGATGGGACAGGCATTTGGTACRTTACAGGAGATATTGGTAATGCACTTTGTAAATTGTACTTTTTCGTGCAAGATACAGCAACTGCAGTCTCCATGGAAAGTCTTATCATCATCGCTTGCGATCGGTACTTCGCACTAGCCTATCCAACGCACGCCGCACCGACCACGAAGCGACGAATTCTTATCATTGCTACCACGTGGATTATTGCTATTGCTGTGCATTTCCCTTACCTTCTGATTTACAACATCCAAATAGGCCCAGATGGAAGCGTTTGCATGCATACCTGGTCGCASGATATCAAAGAACATGCAAATATGACAAGAAATTATTATTTCATACAATTTACTTTATTTGTGATTATACCAATTGTTTTGCTCACTGCTCTCTACTCGGGAATACTGTATAAGCTAAAGCAACAAGAGTATCTGATAAGAAGCGTTTCTAACGGAAGCAGCAGCTCCAAGCGAAGGCGCGAGTACCACGTGCTGAAAATGGCCATCGCCATTTTGGCTGGATTTGCAATCTGTTGGGTTCCCTTCAATACTTATGTATTTATCGCGGTTTTTATTTGGAAGTTTAGCATACCATGCAATCTCGAAGACCTCCGCTTCTTCGTGTTTTTCATGGCCTATTCAAACAGCGCTATTAACCCGTGCATCTACATATACTTCAGCAGAAATTTCCAAAAGCTCTCCAAAAGACACCTTACCAAGAAACGGGCAATCAACATTGAGCAAATGGAATTCTGTCGCATCAGAGACCGAAATTAAAACCATTATCAGTCGACATTGTTAATCTTAATTTCAGTTCAACAGTCCAAATTCAATTAAGACTAGTTTTGCACTCAACATGCCCAAGAGGAAGAAAGCTTCACTTTTACGTATCATAAGACTACTTGACTACTTAAAAAAACTAACAGACTAACATAATAGAAGCAACTTATAAAAGCACGGAATATATCGATGTAAAATCTTTGAATTAAGGTGTTTTATGACGATTAAAGCGTATACAGTAGCCCACAAACTGAGCTTCAAAATTAATATTGACAGAGGAACACGAAAGGAATTATAAACAAAGTGTGATATAAATGCCTTTTTTTAATGTGTCAAATGGATGAACATTGGCCAATGGTGCTTACATAGTTTATTATTTAATGTCGAAAATGATGGTGTCTTTCGGAAAGTGTTGTCATTCGACTAAAATATTAACATTCATTGAAGGAGAAAGGAAGTTACAGGGACGTGAGTAAGTTTAAACAGGTGCACTAGAGTTCTTCCCTTGAGTTGTCTCCCACGGTTCGCCTATGGATCTGCTTACATTGGAGGGCTTTCTTTTGTCGTACAATAAACTTTTGTACTTATAATTTTTATTTTAAGCATAGTTCGAACAATTATATGATCTAAAAATTGACTCGAGAAGTACAGGAAGTAAACGAATCGACGCATCCATGCCGAACTATAAAATGCACTAACATATTTTAGTCGGTGGGTAAGCTGTTAGGAAATTACGAGTGTCTACGAAACTTTATCTAATTTCTTGTTTGCCGGCTAAAGCCTGAAGCGCATATTAAGTTTCACGTTGATTCTTTTCATGTGTATAAGGAAAAAAGCGATTTATTCTGCGCTTTTAAATGATAAACATCAGTGGTATATTTGACTTTTATATTTGACAGTACTAATACGGAATCAGTGAGCCCCATTTATTATCCCTACTTTGATGAGATTTAAAACCAAATGCACATGGGGTCCAGAAAGGTATCCATCAAGCTCTTTAGCACATAAAGTGCTAAAAGCGATATTTTAATCATAGGATTTGCTAGATGTTCTAGTGATTTCCAGCCGATGAACATAAAAAATAGACATGATGATATTGCCCACTGTATATAGTAAATTATAAACGAGAACCGATTTGATAAATATGCATTTTTCCTCTCTTTACTTTGTTTCAGCATGTGGCTCTCGTTTAATGCGATTTTTACATTAATCAATGTTTCTGCACTACAATATCAATAATTTTTTTTTTGCGGGTGATTTCATGGGTGGGAGTTTCGATAGAAAATAGATTTGAGGTTTCTGCTTTAATCAATATGGCGTCAATTCATTTTTGTTTACCAAATCAACTTGTTTTACGGTTCATAAAAAGATTGCTCTTTGTTATATATTTTGTCGCCCCGCCGCATTACGTAAATTACAGTTTTTCGTGAAGAACCAGCTCTTTGTGGTTTAGTATTGTTTTCTTATTTAAAGATTTGTTTATAAAACACAGGGTTAGATTTGCTTTTGTTGCTGTGTGAAAAGAGTGAAGCTTTGAGTATATATAAATGCGTTTGAAAACAACTGCGAGAGCAAAAAATCCATGACAGCAACAGGAAGCTTTTTATTTGGGAAACAAAGAAATACTATGGAAAAATCTCTTTGAGCTGATAAATCAACTCAAGGATGAGATTTATTGACTACAACAGTATCTGATCACTTTTTAAGGCTCTTCTTTGAGTTCTCAACGCCGAAAGGATCAGATTTGCCTAACAGCTTTAACCCTGTCATCCACAAACCAAACAGAGAAGAATCATGTATAAAAAAGGAGATATTCTGGATTAGCAAAATAAATCATATTATTTTGCATTATTCTTTACACTTTTTGTGTAAGTGCTTGAAGGTGTATTCGATTTGGGAAACCATTCAATTGTTCTGTGTTCAAATGATTGACATGTTGCTGTATATTTGTTTTATTCGATGTATCAGCTGCCTTTGGTTTCTACTGGTTTTATCAATTTGAATGATATCCGTAAAGAAAAAGAAATAAAATTAAATAATATAGTCTATATACCTATCTATTGATCTTTTCCCCTGTAGTACTATGCGAAATGTGATGACCAACTGTGGTCTTACACTTGAAATGACTTTCGATCGCCTATAGTAATACAACACTATCAATTATAAGAAAAAGAGAAAATTTCCACGGCAACCTCTAAGTTAAAAGTATTTGTTTTGTTATGTCAATAGTTAAAGAGTAAAGAAGAGCGACGCAATATGTTACAGAAAGAATTACATGCAAAACTTTAACTCGTCGATTATAAAAATTGTCAGACTTTTGGCAGTGTCTTTAGAGACGAATTCTGATATGAAACGTTTGTAATTCAGCAATTTCAGTAATGATCCGCTGGTAATTTCAAGTGAAATTGCATTGAGGTATCGAATTTCTTGATATTGATACACAGAATAGCATATATGTCTATTATCTTTTTCCCAAAAAAATCATAAATTACAAGCCAGGTGGTGGATTCAGTGACAATCGCCTGTAAACATAAGCAATTATGGCCACGTAACTTGGCATGTTTGATCAACAATATTTGAAATCGCAAAAAGTCGTTCGACGGTCATTAAGCTCACATGTCAGAACAGTTTAAACAGTGTTAGGACAAGCAATTCATCTTGTACACTTTAGTAGTTTTTCAAGAACCCCGCAACAGTTATAAATGTTATTTCTGTTATCTTTCGGGAAGAAAAGGCGTGGCTTTGTAGTGATTGTACTACACATACACGCAGTCAAGAAAGGACAATCGATAAAAAACATCCCTTTGCTGATCGAATCCTTGATTTCACAAGCTTCTTAGTTGATATAAATCTCTCGGTTGTGCTAAAAGCATTAAATCTTATATGTCCATCCAACTATCCAATCACGTTTTCGACTTACACCTAGGACAAACACGATCGGTAATCCGCTAACATTACCACTCTCTGACAAATCATTTAGACAAATGAACACGATTAAAAAAGACTCCCCTCGAAACTTCATCGTCTTCGCGAGGAAAGCATTTAAAATATTTAGAGTCTTCAATAAACGCCATGCTTTTTCGTGTCCTTTGCATGGATAAACATTTCAACAGAGAGTTTATATAAGTGCAAACACAAATAAAGCAAGTAAACCTTACCAGGGGCACGTCATCATGTTCACATTTTGTCATTTTTTCTTCCTTTTCCTGCTAACTAAAAAAAACCTTTTGTTTGTATATATTTGTCCCTATGATTTTATGCTGAGTGCGATGACCGAAAATGAAGTTTTCAAAGGGAATAATTTAGATGTTTCGATAAAATTATTTGCGCGCGAAAACTCACAAACAATCACAATTTCAAGAGGGTCTCAGGGAGGGTAGATTTCACCACACACAACGGGTATATTTATTCTACAATGTACTTAAAGTAGTTAGTTTTGTTTTCATTTTGTTTAATTTAATTTTTTTGCATGTGAGCTAACAAAATGATATATAATATTTAATATACTAAATGCTGTTTTTAAAAAGTTTTTTTTTCTTGTTTGCCAATCAGTTTGACTGAAAACATAAGGGATTTTTGAACATCGAAACTACTTTCACAGAGCTTTCCATACAAACAAAAAACTATGCATCATTGGCAAAACCATTCAGTTAAAAAAGAAACAACAAGAATCATCCAAACAACAATTCAAGGCAATCAATAAATTAAAGGTATGAATAGATAGTCGGTCCGTTTGCTAAGCTAATTTTCTTGTATGAAGCCATGCAACTCGCCGTCATAAATCTAAAATGGCTCCTCATTTTTCAGAGCGGAGGAAAAGTGCTTCAGGGCGTCCGTAGAGTTATAAAGTAGATGAAAGGATGCCGTCCATGCCATTTGTATACTCTACGCAGAATTGATGTTTATTTTTATACGCAAGGCTTTTTAGACTGAGATTTGTTTTTAAGACTGATATTTGTCCTGAGAAATGCCCTCAATTTTAGAATAGAATACAGACCTCTTTTAAAACACAAAACGACGTTGCCTTATCATATGCACCGTGACATCACATTGTGGTTTACCCGCAGTGCAGAATAACAACACCACATTTCGCTTTACGAACAACACTGTAACGAAGTAGACCAGAATGCAAAGGGTAATGCTATTTCGGAAAGGGTTTGTAGTACCTAAGAGTAACACGAAGCTGCAATGATGAAGGTTTTTTTTTAAAACAAGGGGTGAAGAGTGGTAGTGTTTGCCCACATGAAAAAGCTGTGTGCCTATAGCTTGTACGTTTCTCGGCAACTCTTTTTTCTTTAAAAAAGATCGCCTAAAAAAGCTTTAGCTAGCAGATTAAAAATGAACAGTGTTCTTGATAAAAGCTTCTTAAAATTGAAAAAAATGTTGTCAGTTAAAGTTGTTTTTGGAAAGGTTGTATTTACGGTTGAATTCGAGACAAAGAAAACAATATTTTTTTTAATAAAACTCAACCCCCCTCCCTCGGTCGATTAGGTAGTTACTTTGAACCCCCTATATCTTTCCATCAATTTTATGCAATGCCCCTCCCCCCCCCCCTCATCTGTCAATACAGTAATTTTACTTTAAACCTCCCAATCTTGGCATCACTAATGTGATGGCCTCCCCTCAGGAATCTACGCAGTCCCCATCTTCTGGTAATTAGTGCACAGTCCCTTATTCGTCTAATTACGCTCAAGACTAGAACCCAGCAGATATACTAATTCTAGTATGATCTGTTATGATCTGTTTCCTGATTATTGCTTCAAACCACATCGTGTTTGTTACTAGGAACCAGTCCATGTTTGAATTTAGGAGTGTCAAATTTGCAAAACGACGCAAAGAGAAAGCCCTAGTATGGGCAGCTACGTGACACTCAGCTCAACTGAATGTTTTATGGAATGGCGCTTACAAATTTGAAGTTTGACTTTCAAAACCAATCTTTGATTGGTGGATATATACGAGGACGACGAACTTGGAAGCTTTAAACAGATTATATAACTGTATTATTACTTTTAAGATGTTTAATTTGATGTTATGATAATGTTTACGAGACATACTGTCTTTCCCCCCTTCACTTATACCTCTAGCTGGTCTCCTCCAAACCTCTCCAGCTACTCTTTCTTGCATGCCCACTGGTACACAACAATTTACTCAGGCACCCATTCAATATATACTAGAAAATGTATGGTATCTTAAGAATTTGGGATGCTACGTAAAGTCACTTTAGAAGTCTGCTGAGTCATCAACATCGATGGGTGTCATTTCTACAACAAAAGAATTCTCTCTCCTCCTTGTGATATAGATATATTACCGAGCCTCTTTTTTGATTCAGTCGCCCGAAAACCATAGGAAAGAAGAGATTGTCAGGTTTTTTAATCTGGATGGTCAGACGTGGGTTGTGTCCCAAGCGAAGGAAGCAAAGACGGATCATATTAGAAATGCAGCTTGAAGCATGTTAACTAACAAAAGCATCGCTTAGACATTTTTCTATTTGCGAGGCGATGGCATTGTTAGCTTTTCCCTTTTTTCACTCAGTTCTCTGCCCTAATAAACCATAGTGCGAAATCTGAAAAAGTGTAATTTTTGTGACTTCTTCTTACCTTCTCGGTCACTGCTTTTGACATTCAGCCGAGCACACACAAACAGGCTCTAGATATATAAGTACACTTATCTTTATGCTTAAAAGGAACACT